ATATTTGAGCAATATTTTTGTGTATGTATATCATAATATCTCCATTAGACTGCAAGTTATTTGAAAACAAGGACCAAATCTCATGTTTATTTTCTCTTTTCTTTTCTGCTTTCCCATAACTAACACAGAATCTTGCTATGGCAGGGACAGATTGGCATGTATTTTGTAGCCTGTACTCTTCCTCTCTCTAGGCGAAACACTCCTCTGCTGGTAGCACTGAAGATCTAGGCTATACTCATAGGTGACACAGCTGGTTGCTCAAGGCTGATTTTTACCAAGATGGAACCTAACCCATGCTGCATCAGCTAGATTCTATTTTCTAAGAATAGGACCCAGGGAGGGCAATTAGTTTTTGTTGACTGCTTATCCTGAGTCAATGTAAAGGCAGAGATGGGGTGGTCATTTACGGTCATGTGAATAGTAGTCAACATGGCATGAGAACAAAAAAAATGAAGCCAGTCTTCCAAAAGAAACACAAGTGAGGGGCCATGTGCCGGGAAGTTGGAGGAAATAACCTAATCTCCTGTCCTTCTGTCCAAAGCCACTTCCAATCACTCTTTTCCACATCTCCTAATTTTATCTTCTCCATAGCACCCATCAGAGTTTGAAATGAATTTTTTTTTTTTTTTTGAGATGGAGTTTTGTTCTTGTTGCCCAGGCTGGAGTACAATGGCACCATCTCGGCTCACTGCATCCTCTGCCTCCTGAGTTCAGATGATTGTCCTGCCTCAACCTTCCTCAGTAGCTGGGATTACAGGCTTGCACCACCACACCAGGCTAATTTTTTTGTATCATTAGTTGAGATGGGGTTTCACCATGCTGGCCAAGCTGGTCTAGAACTCTTGACCTCAGGCAATTTGCCTGCCTCAGCCTCGGCCTCGCAGAGTGCTGGGATTACAGATGTGAGCCACCAGGCCTGGCCTGAAATGAATATTTTGTTGTTGTTTTTTTGAGACGGAGTTTCGCTCTGTTGCCCAGGCTGGAGTGCAGTGGCGAGATCTCGGCCCGCTGCAAACTCCACCTCCCAGGTTCACGCTGTTCTCCTGCCTCAACCTCCCGAGTAGCTGGGACTACAGGCGTCCGCCACCATGCCCAGCTAATTTTTTGTATTTTTAGTAGAGACGGGGTTTCACTGTGTTAGCCAGGATGGTCTTGATCTCCTGACCTCATGATCCACCCGTCTCGGCCTCCCAAAGTGCTGGGATTACAGACGTGAGCCACCACGCACGGCCAAAATGAAATTTTTAACTTATTTGACCATGTGTGTATTTTGTATCTCTCCCTTCTAGAATGTACTTCATATCAGCAATGACTTTGGTGTGTTTACTGCTGCCTCTCTGGCGCTTGGACCAATATGCGTAACATAGCCACACTCAATCATATATGTAGAATAAATGAAGACACAAATAAATATTTAAATGAATTCTTCTTTCTTAGCAGTTTAAGGCACTTGGAGCACAGAGCTTGTTAATACATTCAGAAGGAAAATCAGAACACGAGGTGTGACTTGGGACGGGGGAGTCACAGTGGAAAGTTCTTAACCAGGCTGAGGTCACACAGTGGTTTGGGGAAATAGAAGAGAAAGAAGGAACAGAGAAAAAGCGGCCCCAAAAGAGAGGTTGGGAGGAAATCAGAGAATAAGCTCTCCATTTAGAGATTTTGCCATTTACTGCCCTTGTCTGACAGCAGGTAAAGTAAGTGCCTCCAAACAGCCAGCTGCCAGGATAGCCTGAGAAAGGGGTGGGAAACAGGGGCTGCGGAGAACAGAAGACTTGGGGCCTTTTACAGCAAGTGCAAACTTTCACACCTGTCAGCTATAAATCAAGAGGTTTATGGGGCTGCAATATTTACACTGTAATTAAAAAATCATAAAGCAAGCACCCTTTCAGGTTGTGGAAAACAAAACTCTCAAGTTCTACAGCAGCGGCTGTTAATCAGTTACTCCTAATGATCTGCTGCCCAGATTGGGTGCTTACTCAGCCACAAACAGCAAACAGGACAATGGGAGAAAGTGGGATTTGCACCCGATAACGGCTTTCAGAGGTGGCCAGGACTTGGCCAGAAACCTTTCAGTTTATTGCACAGTCTCTGTTGGAGCTTGGGAAAATATTTTCTGTGAACCTAGTTGGCAGCTTAGGTTTCCTTCTCCCCTGTTCCCATGTGGAACTGAAGTCCATTTACTAAGGTGAGTATGGTGGTGGTATTAGGCACTGTGGGTAGCGTTAGTGGCAGAAACAGAATTTAACATGGGGGAATAACTTACCTATGGAAGTGGCAGACCCACCACATACACCTGGAATTACACACCTGAGAACTGGGCAAGCTGAAGTTCACCTCAATCTTTTTGGTGTCTCCTGCCCTCCTGTTTCGCCCAGAGGCCAGGCCTGCCAGTTGCTGTTGAGCACACAGAACATTCCAGGCCAGTCCTTCAGGCTCCTGCCTGCTTCTGCACCCTTTACTGCCCTCTCATTCCCCTTCACCTCATATCAACCTCAGGGGCCTTCTTTCAGCACCTGGAAGGAATGGTGCTCCCACACCATCAGAGCCTCATATACTTTCTGCCCAGTATTCCCCTGCAGGGTTCCTTCTCATTTTTCAGATCACTGCCTTAGAATGGTATGCTCTAAATTGGAGAAGCCATCTCTGTGTTTTATTCCTTCTAAATTTGTTTTTTATTGATACATAATATTTGTACAATCCATGGGGTACGTGTGATATTTTGTTACACGCATAGAATGTGTAATGATCAAGTGGGATATTTACGGCATCCTTACCTCCAGTGTTTATCATTTCTATCTGTTGAGATAATTTCAAGTCCTGTCATTGTCTTCCACAGCACTTTCCACAATCAGTGATGAGATACTCATGCTTTCATTTTCTTCTTTTTCCTCACCATGTTGCTCACCCATGGCATGGCTCTTTCACACACCACTGAATACACAAGGCCTTACACAGTGTCTGGCATATAGAGGCTTAATTTACACTTGTTGAATGAATGAATGAATGAAGGAAGGAAGGAAGGAAGGAAGGAAGGAATGAATACCAATAAATTGTGCTTCCCAACTTGGCTTTCCAAGTTTGACAACTGGGATGAAATATCCAGAAAGAATTTTTCCTTATTTTCTTTCTCGGTCACTACCTAACGTGGTTTATACAATATATAATTTTCCTTCCTTCCTTCTCTAACCCACAAAGTGGAAATTCCCACTGTGGTGGGAATTTCAACAGCTGTACATATGAGGAGGAAGGTCACATTTTGGCAGGTATTAATTTACACCACATGGCAAATACTGTTGGGCATGGTGGAAGAATTCCTGGCCTTGCTTTCAGTAGACCTGATTTCGAACATTGCCTCGTATACACATTAGAGTAAATCATTTCACCTCTATGAGCTTCAATTTCCTTATCATTGCAATAAATACAAAATGAGCTATCGTTTAAGGAAATCTTTTGCAAATGATCATGAAGACATAATTATTTCATAATTTTTAGTCCACTGATCATAAGGTTCTCCTGCATTAGGGGGTGGTCTGGGGTTCCCTGTCTACAATCTAGGGTCATGAAATTCACCTCCTTTTCTACCCTCCTTTGCCACCTGGAGGAATGTTCTCAACTTGTGCCCTCTGTGGGGACTGTCCCCTGTTTTCATCCATTGGCACCGTGCTTTTGCTTCGGCCCTGGCCATGTGATTACTGTAGGAGGATGCTTCCAAGGTCTCTGAGAATATCAGTGAAAGTGCTAACTCTGTCACCCTCCACAGTTCTTGTTTCTTGAGTTGTATTCATTTTATTAGCAAAATACCCAGGCCTAGTGAAATGTAATAGACTTCTACCTCCAAAGATAATTAGAGGCCCATTTATTTGCCAATTCAGTGAAAAGGCAACCACAAAAGGAAACCAGCTTTTATCAGCACATGCTCACAGCTCAGATCCCTGTGGTGTTGTGCTGCTCTGGCACTTGTGAAAAAAATAAATCCTGGGAAAACTAGGTTGCATTAGGCTTCCTGTTAAACACAGGGAAGAAATAGCTGATGTCCAAATTTGCTAATTTCTGCTGATTCAGTTAGAGGGCAATGTGCTCAGCTAACGAGGGAACTATCCAGGTATGTGAATTAAGGCTTGAAAACAAAGTGTAGGTTGTAATCAGTGCATCCAGCATTGAGTTGGAATCATTATTTAGTGAGAATTTCCCAAAGAAATTAGAAAAGATTTCCAAGCTTAACAGAGCTTTCTGGATTCTTCCTTCTCATGGACCTAATATAACAAAAATACAATCCCCTGGCCCTCCTTCAATCCTGGGATTTTAAGCAATGCTCAAGTGACCTTGTTTTCATGTCCTGTGGAAATAAGGCAGATACTGTTATCTTACCTGTATTAATACAGAACCCTGTGTAACAAAGAAGTTGTAATTTATCAAAGGTCACACAGTGAGTCATTGCTGTAATCACAAAGCAAATGTTCAGGTTCTCATCTCCTTGGCAGCAAATGTTTTGTTCTCTAGGTTAGACTATCTTCTCTAAACTCTCATCATATGCCATTGCCTTCCCCTGTCGGTCAATATCCAAGAAAGATACACACACACACACACACACACACACACACACACACACACACACACCCCTTACCTATTCATCCCATTCATCTCCTATCCTCCCACCTATCCACCCACTAGTCATCATCCATCCTATTTAGGATTGTCAACTTTAAGAAAATCAGGACATCCAGTGAAATTTCAATTCAGATAAACAACAAATAATACTTTAGTATAAGTCCCATGCAATATTTAGGACTCACTTTTTCTGAAATATCATTCACTGTTTATTTTACATTCAAATTTCACTGGATGCCCTGTATTTTATCTGGAAAACCTAATCCGATCACAAATGTCTACATCTTTTCCATTTATCTCCTAATTCCATGACTCTTTCATCTGTTTTTCTCCTTTAACCTCTATTATTTCAGATTTCAGCTAAACAAACTATAACCTATTTTCCCAGTGTTTCCAAACCTGTCCCGAGGCAGAGATGACCCTAAAGAGCCCCTCAGGAGCACTTATTTGTGGTTTCGAGACTGAAGGCTGGCTGTGCAACTTTGGGTAAGTATTGTAATCTCTCTAAAGGTCACTTTCCTTGTCTGTAAAATGAGGGTTTCAACAGTTACTATCTCATAGTCCTGTGGAGAGGACTAAATGACAATTCACAGTCCCAGCACATAGTATGGGCTCATTAAAGTGGCATTAAATGTCAGCTAGTGTGGTTGGGGTTGCTGCTGTTACGTTTGTTGTCATTTTTTTAGACAAGAACATGCCTAGAGAGCTGAAATTAGTTGTTGATGTTTACTTAGTGATGATGCTGCTAAATATTCAAGGGATAGTTTCTGAGACTCTACTGCAAATGTCAAATGCAATGTTTAAATTCAATATCTTAGACCTGCATCACTTGAAGACCAATTTGGCAGACACTGTTAGTCATTTGCCCAATTGCCATTCCCCTTGCTTCATCTCTTCCTTGCTGGAAGAGCTTCAGTTTTAGAAAGTGCCTCTGCCCAGCCACATGTGTGTGCTGGGAAATGGTCTGTTTCCCAACGCAAGCAAGGACTTGTTATCATGGGATTGGTTTATGCATGGATTTGTGACCCCTCCCTCACCAGTGGGACCTGAGGTATGCTGAGGGGCTTCTGGAAAAGATTTTTTTCTTGGTAATAAAAATATGTGCATGGGAAAACATCCTCTTCTGCACTGGATGGGACCACATCAAAGTGTAATTCTTGAAACTACCACAGTCAACTTGTTACCAGGAAAGGAGAGCTCCCCAATACCCTGAACATGGCAAAGTAGACAAGGAAAACATCTGTGTTGTTGAGGATTGTCAAGCTACTAAATTTTCCTTGGAACTGATTTGACTTTAGATTTCTTATTTTGTGAAACAATAGTTCCTTTTTCTGTTTAAGCATTCTTGATCTATTACCTGTGACTGAAAGCTCCCAAACTGATGCAAAACTTTGAACTACATAGGAAAGAGATGGATTCAATGGTGCTCACTTTCCTTTGGATCTCTGCAAAACTACATACCTACTCAACATGTTTTTGGATAGAATTTCAGGTAAGAGAACATCTTTCACCTCAAACATCGATTTCCTAAACTGTTTGTGAGCCATTTGCCTTTTGTGCAAGGGCTTCTGAGCATGTAGCTTTGGCTCGGTAAACAGCCTTCTCCACAAGACTTTTGGAAAGAGATTTTCTCCTAGGAAACTGCAAAGAAAACTGTTTCTTGCTCAAAAAAACTGCTTCTCCTAGGCACATGGAAATCTGGGTTCTTTGGACAGGTCCATGAACTTATTACTGCTTCCGAATTTCGCTTCTTTGCAGTGAATTTCTTTTATGTCACACATAAGCACACATGTATTTATTTCCTGTGAATAAGCGTTTGCTGAGTTTGTTATCAGTTTTCTGCTAGATCGTGGAGGCAACAAAAATATACAAAGAAACTGACCTCAAGGTGACTACCTTTTCTTTGGAAAGATATATTAACAATAATAATGATACAAGCTTATTAATTTAAAGTTTAAAAATGTTTTCAAATACACTGTCTTATACTGGGAAGGACTTAATAAAGTTCCAAATCTGATAAAGTATATATTACATGGACTAACCACATAAAAACAATACATTTTGTGCCAATACTTAAGGCACATATCAGTAATTTTCAGATTTCACAGTGCATCAAAATCACTGAGGAAAGCCTGCTAAAAGTATAGTAGGAGCTTAATTCAGGAGGTCTTAGTAGAGAGCAGAAATATGCTTGCCTGTTTTTCAAAAAGTGCATATGATTCTGCTGCAGATGTTTCATAGACCATGTATTAAGGGACACAACTGTAATAATCAAAATTATTAGCCAGGAAGTGGTGAGTCCAGTGTTGGCTTAAAGCACTGGTTCTCAAAGTGTGGTCTCTAAATCAGTAGTGCAAGTATCCACTTGGTACTTATAAGAAATATTCAAAGTATTTTTTCCTTCTTTTTTTTTTTTTTTTTTTTTGATACAGGGTCTCAGTATGTTGTTGTCCAGGCTGTTCTTGAACTCCTGGGCTCAAGTTATCCTCCTGTGTTGGTCTCCAAAATTGCTAGGATTACAAGCATGAGCCACTGGGCTTGGCCTTTTATTCTTTTGAAAAAAATGTTTTTTGGGTTTGAGAAGTGTTTAAATTCTTGGCATTATCCCAGACCTGATAAATCATAAACTCTAGGAGTGAGGTCCAGCAATATATATTTTAGCAAGTCTTCCGGGTGATTCTGATGCATGCTAAAATATTAAGAAATGCTGGCTTAAATATCTGGTAAGTACCCCTGGAGGAAGAAGAACTTGAGATATACTTGGTACAAATTGGATAGGATGAAAAAAGTGAGAAAATCACTCCCCATCAGCTGTTACCCATCCAAGGCAGGGAGAGAGTCATGAGTAGGGTATGTAAGGCACTTGTTAGAAGGAGCTTGGCCTGACACAAGAGTATTCAAACCCAAGGGCTGCCTTACCACGCCCAACCACTGACCGAGATGGCATTATTTGCCCGGAGTTTAGGAGGCTTTTCTGGGATAGTCTACATGGGTTGCTTCTTGAGCATACCTTCAGATTTGGCACAGACTAGTTGCTTCTCTGACAAATAAGATATTGTGGTGAACTTATCTGGGGCATGTAGGAGCCCTCATGGACAATCTTTCTTTGGCTCATCCTTCTCTAGCTAAGGATGATAACATTGGGTACAAGAGGCTTGAAGACAGCTTAATAAAATCATTTCATTTCTCCCTTTTGTACTTCTGCAAGGAAGGGATTCTTTTCAGTAAGACTCTGAAAAGGCTTTCAACATGAGGCCCATTGGTGCGTGAGCTCAAATAGCTGTTGTTATTTTGATCATCACTTTCAAGAACTTCGGGGTTCTTTGGTTGGGTTAACTCGGACTAACATCTTCCATGGCATTCTCTTTGGTCAAGCAATTCTGGCTTAATGAGTATTGGGCAACTTCTTCTGTGGAGCTCCTCCTTAGAGAACTTAGAAATGGATTTTTTTTTTTTTTTCCAGGCAGAAGAAATGGTAAACTTCACAGGTTTTGTAGCAAGTATTAACATACCGTTAATGAAGTCTTGGGAGCCTTCACCTGGCTGGGTTTCTTGGCTTTATTTAGAGAAGCTGGGCCTCTTGGAGGGGACCAGCTGCCAGGATTGTTTTCAAACCTGCTTCCCTCAGCATAGTACTTACAGGACTTGACGAGACCTGTTGCCAATCTTCAGGGTTTTCTGAGGTCTGGTAAGAGGGTCAGGGAGGCAGCCACTCTTCAGAACTCTTTCATCTTCAGAAGAGCTTTCTGATACTAAGGTGATTTTGGCTGATGTCCAGGCTTCCTCAAGACCTGGACAAAATGTCTGGGAGTCAGCTGCTCCTTGACCCCACTGTACTTTTCACAAGCACTCTCTAAACCCGAGGAGACTTCTTGCTTGTCTTCAGGCCTCCCCAAATGACTGAAAAGAATATCTCACAGGAAGCAGCTTCTAAGGAATCTCTTCTTCAAAATGTGAGAAGACTTGGTGCTGGACATGAGGCCTCCAACAAGATTTGGAAAGATGAATTAAAGTCAGTTTGGAGGTGCACAAATGCACCCAAACTTGAGATTTGCCGTCCTCTGAACCTCATAAAAGACTGGAAAGGAGCCTTGGGAGGCAGCATCTTTACTGAAATGTACCCCATGACAGACAGCAACACTCTTTAGACCTGAGGAGATTTGTTGGAATTTATTTTTCACCAAGGATAAGGCACCCCACAATAGCAGTCATCTCTTCAGAGATCTGCAGTCTCTGAGAACCTTCAGAGACTGAGTGTTTGCCTTTAGGCCCCCACTATGGCTGGGAAGGGAATCTTGGAGGCTTCACACAAATGCCTCCCTCAACAGCAGCACTCTCTGCACTTGAGGAGATTTGCATGACTTTAGGCTCCGTCAAGGACTGGAAAGGCTATTGGGGGAACTGTGGTTCCGCAGAAATGCCCCCTTCACTAGCAACATTTATTGAGCCTGACAATACTGCTGCCCGGAATTAGGTCTCACCAAGGCCTGGATATGAAGTCTGATGGAAAGTAGAACCAGAGAAATGCTCCTCTCAACAGCAGGGCTCTATGGGCCAGGGGAGGCTCCTGGCTCCACTGTTGCCCTCCCTAGGGGCTGAGCCACCTGGGCTAGAAGGCAGTCCTCTTTTTAAACACTGCACTGGAAGCAGCACTCCACCTTTGCTTTATGTCACACTGTTGAATACTTACAGTTTAGTCAAGGATATAAAAGAGGCTGAGGAGACTATGTTTGTCCAGCCATGAAATAGGCCAGTTAAGCTGCAGCCTAAGAGACCAGCACTCTATCTTCGCTGGGAAGCACCCAGAGGACAGAATGAATGGGTCGCAGCATGAATACTGCTGCTGCTTCTTTCACCACTTATTCTGAAAATCATCTCTAGTAGGAAATGCAGCCTTGGATTCTGCAGGCTTTCCCCAGCATTGCTCACGTTAGGACTACTGCAGCTTGAGTACCATTTTGTTCCTCAGAGCGGCATCCTGAGATTAGTGTATACACAAGTAGTGAATCTAGAGTGCAAATTATTTATGTTGCTAACAAATTACAGTCATCCCTCGGTATCCACAGGGGATTGATTCCAGGAAACATATATGCATACACACACACACACGGACAGAGTTACCAATATCTGTGGATGCTCAAGTTCCTTACATAAAATGCATAGTATTTGCATATGTGAAACCTTCAAATACAGCCAATCATGTGTGTGTGTGTAAATTATATATATTTTTACACACACACACACATATATACATAGACTATGTAGTGTCTTATGAAAGTAAATCTGTAATATGAATAGAAGACTTATTATGTTACTGGTACTTTTTAAACAGCTTGTACGTGGATTATGTGTTAAATTATTAAAACAACCCTAAGGCAGGGCTTTTCAGCCTTGGCACACATATGGGGACTGATGATTATCTGTTGTGGAGGCTGACCTGTGCACTGTAGGATATCTAGAAGCATCTCTGGCCTCTATCCACTGGATGCCACTATCCTCCTCATCCCCACCTCCAGTTGCGAAAACCCAAAGTGTGTCTAGATATTGTCAAAATCCTTTGGAGGAAAAATTTGCCTCCATTGAGAACCACTGCCCTAAGAGGAAGGCCCTTTTTCACAGATGAGGAAACTGAGGCATAAAGCGATTAAATATTTGCCTGAGTTCAGGCAGTTATCAAGGACAAGAATCAGGATTTAAATCCTGTCTATAGAGACTAAGTTCTCAACCACCATTCTTTATGTTACAGAATTATAATGTCTTCTAATATCCAATGTTCTACCAAGTCACTTAAGATACAACCAGCATCCTCGTGGTCTTTGATTGCTGATGGGTAAGTAGAAGATTTTGCATTTCCAGTTGCCAAGATCACTGGAAGGCTTTACATCAGGTCACACATGTCTGTACCTCCTTCCAAAAGGTTAGGAACTGTGAGACCTTCTTTAATGTTGTTTCTGTCTTGGGGTGGAGGTGGGGTGTCTAACTTTCTTTCACCCAGAGAACATTTTTTTTTTTTTCTATTTCAATTCATAAAAATTTATTACCAGTAAATCCACATTCTAAGAAATATTAAAGAATGTTTATCTGACAGAATGAAAGGAATACAAGATGGAATCTACATCCATAGAAAAGAAATAAGAGCACCAAGAATAGTACTTAGGAAAGATCCATAATATAAACTTGAAAACCATCATTAAATACCAAAACAGAGTATAGCTAATAAGCCAAATAAAAATGAAATAAAATCATAAATAATCAGTTAATCATAAAACAGTTTGTTAAATCAATACATATTTTTTAATATATTCATCACAAGGGCTTACTCAAAGACTTAATTAAATAAAACAGAAACGAAACAAAAGCAGTACCACAGCTTACAATATAGCATCCTATAAAGAACTTAATGAGAGGAAACAAACAGACAACACAAGGAGGGGAGCCTCAGTCAGGAATCTTGGCTGGAGATCTACTTTTATTTTTATTATTATTTATTTA